TGCTCTCGCCGCCGCCGTCGCTCCGCCGTCACAAGGCGCCATGGGCCACAACGGCAAGTTCCAGTTCGCCATCGACAGGGGCGGCACCTTCACCGACATCTACGCCAAGTGCCCCAGCGGCAAGATCCGCGTCATGAAGCTGCTGTCGGTGGACCCCGCCAACTACCCCGACGCGCCGCGGGAAGGCATTCGGCGCATCCTGGAGGAGGTAGGTGCGCCTGGCAACGCCGCCACTCCACACGAAATCCTTCCTGCTTCAATTCCACTTCTTCTGCACATCGCGAACGCTCGAACGTCTACTGTTATCCCCATGGCTACGATTAACAACGAAATAGGGGCTTGTCCTAATATTGATACCTTCATAATTATTCTGTGAACACACGTCTGCTGTCTACGAGTGTTCTGGCATCGCAGATAACTGCGACAACGTTTTGTGTCCGGGCGCGTGCTGTCACATTTTCCCTCTTTTTTTTAGTTTTAAATGATACAGTGAGCACAAGCGCGCCGTTTTTTTTACACTCGCTAAACACCCGTCACAACCGGCCTTCTGCCTGAGATCTAACTACTGCCTGACCTTTCCAATACTCATCATTTCGGTTGTTGTGGAGGGCAATTGGAAGGGTCACCCGAATGTCACTGAAGGAGGAAGCAAACAACATGGACTCCAATGTGTGTCTGCGTCAGCGGTTTGGAGAGGTGTGCTCGGATTTATGTAAATCGAAAGGCGCTTAAGCGAAGCGCGTTGCCAACACGGCTGAGTTTCTCTGCAGTTCGAAATCCGCGCCCCCCTCGCTGCCACACTAGCGCTATGGTTGTGTTTCGCAACACTCCCAATTTGTAAACAGACAATTTGCAATCATTCTGCAAGTTCTGACGAGTAGTCTGTTTCACACATTGAAAATTGTGCATTAAATGCCTCTTTTATAATCTAATCAAGAATAATGGAACCAAATGATTATATTCAGAAATTTCTGGGTCCTTTATTGCTGTTTAACATCTTGTTTTATGTTGTTCAGTTGGTATCCGATAGCGAGTTCAAAAATTATTAATACTCCTACAAATACAATGCTCGAGCTGTACAAGCACCACTAATAAAAATGGAGTACCTTCGGTACCCAAGGTACTCTCATTTGACTCCTCCTTCATGGCTGTAGTGAACAAAGGTTTCTTTGTCACACAGATAATTTAAGTGTCTAGAGAGATAAGACACCTACAAACAATAACAGTAACGATATGAACAGCTGTCAAGGTTGAAACAATACATACGTAACTTTAAATAGGTCACTTAGCCGTACCAGGCTGTACTGCCAGAGTACACACAAGTACAGTATATAAACAGGTATAAATTAAATTTCTGTAATTTCTATACATATGTCCGACTTCTCTTGACTCATACATTCAGATAATTTAATTTACAGAAATATTGTTTTTAATTATATTCACTGAATAGACTTTTAAGCCTTTCAATTACTAAATTATTATTATTATTATTATTATTATTATTATTATTATTATTATTATTAACCATCTACTTAAAAATGTATTATAAAAGTACTTGTGAACACAGAAACATTACAAGATATGAATCACATTAAAAGTATGGTGACCGTTCTTCTTTAGGATTCATTAAAGATTGCTACTTCTGTCTAAAAGATGCCCTTCTACTTGACATAACATGTTCCCGGCAAAATACTTAATCAACTGAAATTGGAAAGCATAAAAAAGGACTGAATCATTATAATTTTCTCATAATCGAAATCCTCTTCAAACCGCAGCTAAATTAAATTTTAATTTATTTTAATAATAGCTTATAATAACGCTCTATACGTTAAACAAAAATCATAATTTTAATAACAAATATTAAAAAATACACATTGCACCTCGCAGCTCTCCTCACTCGCTGCTTTTCGATAGCTGGAGCCAGGTTGTTTACATGTTTCGGCGTGGAGTTGCCTGTTACGTAAGAGAGTCAACACAGGCGAGAAGGCAGGTTTCTTGCAAATTCAGCCTGCCATTGCGAATTAAAAAACGTATGTGGTCGCCTGTTACGTGTTGGCGCCAAGTACATTCTACGGTTGATTCGGATCGCAACGCAAACAAAGGTCCAGCACTCGCAGTCTCATATGGACGGAGATGCCATGCCGGCAAGTTATTACACTGCAAACATTGTAATTGAGTACGACTTCCTCTTTGGGCAAGGTGTACGTGTCCAAATACATAATATATCAGCGTGCGATTGCATGTTACGTTTTAGGTTAACGATAAATAAAAATTGTTTACTTCACGTTCAAGCTGCCCCAAAATTGTACTGTTCGAGTATCAGAAAAAAGTTCTGTCATTGAAAGCTTGTAGCAATTAATGAAAAATAAAGAAGATAGATTTTGTTACTCTAACGTATTAGATGCGTCTATGTGCAGCAAGTTAATTGAATATGCGATTCCATATGCGATTATTGAACTTTCAGAAATCTTCCTGGAAAGTTTGCCATAAATCATTTAATTTTGATTTCCATTCACATACCCATCCAAGTACTAACAGCGCCCGAAGCTGCTTAACTTCGGTGATCGGACGAGAAGGGGGTTCTTTCAACGTGGTATGGACGTTGGCTAGTTCTATATTCGAGTTCTACTTTAAATAACACTAATTTATGTGTAATATTTATAGAAACAATCAAGTTTAAGAAAATAATGCCATGAATAAAGTTGTATTTGAAAGCTGATGGGAAGAACATGGATGTCAAAACACAAAACATAGGAAATATAACACATTTGTTACCTTTGTTATTCGTGGGTTTCCGAAAAGCTGAGCATGAACAGTTCGGTTCAGCAAGGACTAAATAAAGAACTGAACTATATCCGAAATTTCTCTGTTGATTGAGAGCCCATTCTCTGATCAAAACAAAACTATCTCAACTGTCTATGTATGTGGCTTGGCACATGAAGAAAATATTATTTTGGAGCGAGTGGACACTAGAATTGCTTGCGTGGAAAGCGTAGAATATTTACTTACATTCATAGTAATGCATGTTAAATTCAGTTTTAAAGTAAGTCCTGTTTAAAAACGCAAGTGAGAAACTATTTTCGTAAAATAAACCAATGACAGAAATTTTAAATTGTTGTTTCATTTGTATTGTCTCCATTCCTTAACGAAAAACATGACACTGAAAATAAAACTGGAAATGTTTGTTTTATTAATGCAGACTTCATATTTAGAGACCACTGCAGACTTTAAAAATCTGTAAGATAAGCTTACGCCAAAGGACATAAGTAGCCTGAAATGAAAAGTTTAAAGTGTCCTTCACATCTTAATTTACAATCTTGTCTCGTTTTCACTGATTGTACCTAATCTTTATTTTAAATGAATTCGAGTTAAGACATCCTTATCGAACACTTCCCATAACCCTACTGTTCATAAGATTCACCGACCAAGCAACATTGAACTAAGTTCACAGACTATCTAATGCAATGCAGTTTGTCTTTCCCGGCCTTCGGGAATACATACATCATAAATATACAACAGTCTTTGTTATTAGAAGTAAACCAGTTTTCAGAGTCAGAAAACATTCTCCATACGGTTTTCTCGAACAACCCACGATTACCTAAAAAAGGTGGATGTCCTTTTCCAGAGAGTAGTGGTGTTGGTTATAATCAACCATATGCTTCCTAGAGTATACTCTACTGGTCCGACAATTGACAGTCATTCGCCATTAGACGTATATACTGATAAGAAAGAAACTATGTTTTGGAAATTTCTAGACCTTTCTATGAAAATTGCTGAAAAACTCTTTTTTTGGGAGGTGTTTAATATCTAACGCGGTTTGGGACTTTAGGATTGGCACTATTTTTACCCAGATCCTTCTAGAATATTCGAAAATAAGTCTAAAAAATCTTATTTTGGAAGATTTAAGTCACTTTCAGTAATGAAGGCTGTAATTTATTATACCGTCTAACGACATAACACGAGTCGTTACATACTAATTCATCAGACTGACAAATTAAAAATAATTTTGTAATGTAATATTTTTTTTCGTCTTTCATTCTTTACTTCTTTTTTCTTCTTACTAACGTTCATACTACTGCGTAGCATCAAGATGCTGCAGGAAAAAGTGCGAATTTTTCTAGAGATAAACTACTTTTATGGTTTGATATAAAAGAAAGTGGATTTTTCTTCGATTTTGAGGTAATAAAGTCTATTCTTCGATTTTGTGATTATACGTCGAAAACCTAGTTTAGTCAGAATCCACATTCTATGATACTGCAAAAGTCATGTTCGGCAAAATACCTACGTGTGCAGCAGAACCGTAGGAATTCTTCAACCGTAGGAAGGATTTGCTCAAAGATAGGAAAGCCCCCATCGATCTCACGCAAGTCGCGGCCCTCGAATTCTTGAAACGGATATTTACGTATTGGGGCTGAATCACATCAAATTCCAGCGACATTTCGAAATTTCGGACAAACACGATTCCACATTTTTACTTTAAATTTCCTGCTGGAATAGAGCAATTTATACTTATAACAGTGGCGCAAGTCCAAATTTTATTGAAATTTCAAAATTTCGAAATTTGTAGAATTCCAAATTTTTGGTACCCTTTCACCAACTTCATTATTGAAGATTAATTTTGATAATGAAATCTGTTAAAAATTACATCCTTAAATAATTTTAAAATAACCGTAGTGTTCGCGAAATTTTTAATGCAATCGAGGCAATTTAAATACGCAAACCAAATTTTCTCAAAAACATGTTTTGTGCAATTATTGCTCACATAAAGTCAATTTCTCTTAATAATAAGGCATAAGTTATATTTTTATCAAAACCTCTGGTTTCATGAAAATTGAACAAGTTCAACTTTTTTCAATAAATTTTACGCTTCAAATTTGTCGTTTAATAGGAAATACAATAAAAATTGTTCAAATAACATTTTCCGCGTATTACGCGGAAATATGTTCAACATTAACATTAACCGTGGTTATAGCAATCGTAATTTAACTTTTTCATTCTCCTAATAAAATAAATAAGTTTGCACTCACGCAATTCGTTACTCTATCGTGTACTTTGGAGTAGCGAATTGCACATTGCGTTTCGGGCACATTGCTCCTTGGGCACATCACTTTCCGGGCCCTCATAGCTTCGCGAGCGGCGTTCTGATATGACAAAACGTTCTGAACCTCGACCACCGAGTCGTCTGAATCTTGTATTGAGGTTTAAATT